CTGATGAATTTGAATTATGGTGCTGGCAAGGAGTTCTGAATTACCATAAACTGCCAAAAGAACAACAACAACAACGAAATCTGTCTTGGAAAAAGTACGTCCAGAACTTCTGCTCCTTAGAGGCAAAAATGGCAAGATTTCTCGTACGTCGGACATGTTGTCAGGAGAGACCAACCTCTGTTGAAGGACACCAAGACTGGTAAAATAGAGGGGCAGTGCAAAAGAGGAAAGCCCTCGACAAGATGGATGGACACAGTGGCTACAACAATGGGCTCAAACATAAGAACAATTGTGAGGATGGTGCAGGACCAGGCAGTGCTTCATTACTTGACGGCAAACAACAAGACAGCTCTATAGTTAGCCTTTTGAGGTATTGACAGACTATTTTCCATAGTGGTGTACCATTTTATAATCCCATCAGCCACGGGTGAGGTTTCCAATTTCTGCATATCTTCACCAACTTGTTATCGTCCACATCCTTATGCCGACTTTTGTGTCTCTCAGGGGCTTAGGACACCAGTAGTTTATAGATATAGCAGTGTATATATGAAACTACAGGCTAAAACACACAGAACTAAATGCTATTTTGAGCTCCTTGAAGGCAGGGTTGCAGTGTTGGGAAAAGAGAATAGCTTTTAAACTCCTGCTTTACTCCTTGTCTACTGTATCCTGTTGTCCACTGTGTTGCGCCTTTCTGAGCAAAGAGGTGAAACCATGAAGAGCGCTGAGAAATGACTGGCCAGGAAGATGGAGGAGAAGTGAGAAATCAAGAAGAGAGAAGATTTTTAGGAAGAAGTGGTCAGCCCAGGGGGCAGGCTGCTTCAAAGATGATTATTGTTTTAAAGTTTCCACTGCTTCAGGCCACGTGCAGCCTTGTGTCAAGACACGAATCAAGTGTTCTTGATCCATCCCATCAAGGCTGTCCTGTAGCTCCGGTGGGGAGGAAAGGGAGGAAGGATAGTCTCTCTGGGCATGGTGCTATTTTAAGAAACATCGTTCCCAAGCCTTTTTTTGCCTGGGAAAACAAATAAACAAAATCTAGAGACAGATTTTTGTGATTCTTGTTCCTCTTTCTGCTGTCAATAATTTCTAGGTTCTCTGTGTTCAAGTAAGGGCAAATTCTAGGTTATGAGGGCAAACCCAATCAAGACTACATATAATTCTGTATAAGTTCAAAATAAGTGTATCTGATAACAATATTTTCCATATTGTTAGAAAAAAAGTCTTTCAAAAGTCAGTTTAGAGTTAGCCTAAATTTAGGCAAACACAATTTATGAATAATAAGACAAAGAAAAACAAATGCCAAAATAAACCTTCTTTCACAAGGGTCTAAAAATACTGTATTCTTTCTCCCTTCTCCAAAGACAAAGGAAAAATCTTGGCTGTCAGAAGCTGGATTGGTCGCAGCTCCCTGGAAGTCACATGTGTAGTGACTTCCCATACTACACAGTGACTTTCCCAGGCTCCTTTGTTGGTTCCTCGTCTTCCTCCCAGCCCTCTCCATCTGCTTTCCCCTCTGCTGGGTGATTTAAATAGGCTCAGAATTTCCTAATACTCATAGGTGCAATGTCCAACCTCTCCCTTGGTCAGTCTAACTGCCTTACAACTTGGAGATAGAATGCATCAACGAATGTTAATTACAGTGCACTCCACCCTGACTTCAAAAGACAATAATCATACAGAATCAAAGGCATCAAAATCTTACAGAATAGAGCTGGTCACTTAGTTGGGGAACTGAGCAGTGAAGGGTTTTACACAGTTATGTGGTTCACACACAAATATGTTTTATTGTCACCCATCTTGAAACAAATGTCATCTGGCTCTCTCCTTGCGCCCTACCATTGCTTTGTTTCATAAGCAAGGTTCTCTTATAAGTCTGCACTCACTGATTATCCTTCCTGACCTTCCCTTCGCTCTTCCATCCCCTTCGGTCCGGCTTCCTCTCCATCACTCCTGAGCAGATGCAAAAATGCTAAGGTCACCAACATCTTGGATGTGGTCCATGACAAAGGCAACTTTTCTCTCTTCATTTTATACCACCTCTCAGGCAGGAGCATCCACAGACTTGGTCACGTCAACTTTTCTAACTCTGTTTTGGGGGTTCCACGACCCCCAGTGTCCTGGTTTTCAAAGCATACATGGACTTTCCCAGGTCCCTGTACTGGTTTCAATGGGCTCATAATGTCATACTATGTATAGGCTGAATATTCCAACCTCTCCATTGGCTCCTGACTTGCAGATCCTACAGAGTTCTTAATATTGACTAGCTGAAAGTATTTTTCCAGTCCTTGCTGTCAGTTAGAAGCGTTGGTGGTGTAATGGGTTACACATTGGGCTAACCATGAGGTTGGCAGTTTGAAACTTCCAGCCAGTCTGAGGGGGCAAGATGAGGCTTTCTATTCCCACAAAGAGTAGTTACCATTTTAGAAGCATACAGGGGAAGTTCTACTTTGTCTCATAAGGTCACCATGCGTCAGAATTGACTCGATGCCATGAGTTTTTTTGGTTTTGCCTGTCAGTTTGTTGCACTCAGATGTCTTGCAAGTTGCTTAATGCTGGAAGCTATGTCACTGGCATCTCACATGCCAGTAGGGTCATCCATGGTAGATACAGCAGAACTTCCAGACTAAGACAGACTATGAAGAAAGGGCTGGTGGTCTACTTCTGAAAATGAGCCGGTTAAACCCTAGGGATTACAACAAAATATTATTTGATATAGTACTGGAAGGGGAGCCCCCCAGGTTGGAGGCAGTAGCTAACAACAATAAGCGTAAGCATGTCAATGGTCTTGAAAATGGTACAAGATGGGTAACTTTTCCTTCTGTTGTGTACCGCATTACCGTGAGTCAGAGCCAAACTCAACAGCAATGAACAACACTGGCCATCTCAAATTTAACTCCTGTAAAATGGAAGTCTTCTTCTTTTTTTTTTTCCCCCTTCCAGAGTCAGCTTGTCTAAGAGTCTTCAAAACACCAATAAACAGCACCATCACCTATCCTGGACACTCTCATTTCCTGCTTTTCTACAAAAACCAATTCTACTGCCAAAATGGTCTGCTGTTTGCTTCTGTTGTGGCCTATCCAGGCCCTTTTACATCATCTCCTGCAACATGCTACCTCTTCTTCTCGTTCCCGTCTGCTGCCTACACCTCATTTCCCACAGCAGCTGGAAAAGCACTGTAAGACGCAGGACAATTGCCAGCCTCCTGCTGAAGGCTCTGCGACTGCTCCCATCACACTTGCAGTACGGCTTGCCTGATGTGGTTCCTGCCTGCCTCTTACCATTCCTTCCTCTGCTAAACCCTTTCCGATCTCTGGATCTTGGTGCTCGTCCTGCTACCAGGCTCCTTCTCAGTCTCTTGCCTCCTCAGCAAGTCCCTCAGTCACCCCAAGAATCACTGTGAATTCCATACCACTCTCTCGCCCCACTAGAATTAGCTGTGCATGCAGTAGGGACCTCTGCTAAATAGAAAGCTCCTGAGAGCAGGGGCTTCGTCCTCTTCAGCCCCCTGTCCCTGTGCAAATGTCCTGCCTGGCACCATGTTGGAGCCCAGTAAACATTTGCTGAGGGATTAGAAGCATACACAGCAGGGCTGGGCTGAGAACACAGGGCTCCTGGCTCCAGGCCCACTGCTTCCCACTGCCCTAACCGCTGCTCTCCTGAACAATGGGTGAGTCAGACCAGCCGCCCAGCTAGCGTGCAAACTTGGGACCTTTCTGTGGGAAGAGCGGAGTCTCACACCCTCATCCTGCAGTGCTGCACACAGCCAGCAGCCCAAGGTCAGGCCAGGCTATGGTGGGTTTCCACCAGGTGTCTATCTGGAGGAGAGCTTCAGTCAGTGGTCACAAGGAGTGGATGCTAACTCAAAGCACAGGGCAACAACACTAGCCAAGGCAGGCTTCTGTTGGAAGGCAAACTGGCCTTCCAAAGTGGGGAGAGGAGAAGGACAACCCCCAGGTGGCTCTCCCTTCCCACCTGTCTAATTTCTGGCCAAGACATGTGATTCTAGCCCAGACAGAGCAGAAGGCCCAGTTTCTGTCATCATAAAGCCTCAGTTCTCCCAAGGCCTAGGCATGAGGTAGGGCATTACAGTAGCGAAGGATGAGGTAGTGGATGCTCAGTGACAAAATCCTCTCCTTCCATGCAGGAGGCGGCTCGAGTTCCAGCCAATGCACCTTAGACGCAGTCACCACCTGTATGCCAATGCTCACAGGCTTGCTGCTATGATGCTGAATGAGTTTCAGCTGAGTTTGCAGGCTAGGGTGGATTAGAAAGAAAGGCCTGGCAATCTACTTCCAAAAATCACTCGGTGAAACTTAGAGATGACAACAGTCTGATTGCATCACAGAGATGCAGCAGGACCAAGCAAAGTGTCACCTTGACGGGTATGGGGTCCCCATGAGGCACAGGCCAATTCTACGCTGGCAATTCAACAGAACAGTAAAGACAATGAGAAAAGCAAAAAGTGATGAATATGGCAAAGAAGTTATCCTAAAAATGCTGTAAGGCACAGCATGAAAGAAAACCAACAAACCAACAAACAAACCTACCATGCCGGGAGCAGACTCCTCCCACAGAGCAGGAGTGAGCAGGAGCTGCTCCCTATTGGGGTCCACCCGAAACCAAAAGCCCCCTTGACACCCATCTGTTCCTACTAAACACTTGGAGCGTTTTCCCAACGCATTTTCTCCCTGGGTCTAAAGAGTTCCATTCTGCCAGGCCTCCGAAGCATGTCTGCAGCCCCCAGGTAAAGAGACTAACAGAGTTTCAATTAGGTCCAAAAGATGGATGGTGTTGTGGTTCCTTTTTCCCCCTGAATGGTGACACCAAGCGGGAAGGAGTGTCAGAAAGTAAGTCCAAGCTCAGCCCCTGGAAGACTCAAACACAGCAATCACTGGGAGGATGAGTCACTCGGATCATCAGATGACCCAGATGCTGCTCGCAGGGAAGAAGAGGGCGGGAGCAGAAGGGGAAGGCGACCAGTGAAGGTGATGCTTTACCTGAGCACTTGCAACTCTTCTGCTGAGTTCTGCACCTCTTCTTGGAGGCGGCGCCAGCGCAAGCAGGCCCGCAGCTCTTGTTGCTCCTGGGCCTCCAGTGGGGCCAGCTGCTGGACCACAGACAAACACACAAACACATGCACAAAACTCGGTCACTGCAGCTTTCCTTGGGCTGGTCAAGAGCTCCCTGATGTGATGGCCTGCTTTGGTTCCAGGGAGGGGGTGACATCGTCAGCTCTCCACTCCCTGGAAAGTCAAGGGGACCAGGAGCCTCCGGGTCCCACCAATGAAGAACCAACAGAGCGCTGTGAGGCCCCCACCCTGCTCCCTCCGCCCACTGCCCCCCACCCCACAACTTGGCCTGGCCTGAGGGGCTGGCTTCCCGGGGGACTGTTTCCACTTTGAGTCCATCCAGCCCTCCCCTGCTTTGTCTTTCTGTGCAGGGTGGGGAAGGTCCCCTTCGTCTCCCTCCCATCCTTCCCAGTCCTCAGTTTTGTTAAGAACTGTTTACAGTGGGGCCTGCTAATGAAACCCAGATGATTCTGTTGCACGGAACCAGCAGGGGCTGAGTGCCAGTACTCATTTGGGGGAGGAGCAGGCCCCCTCTCCAACCCCCCCACCCCACCCCACCCCACCCCACCCCCGGCCTGGGGCTCAGGATCAGCAGCTATCACTGGGACAGGGAACTTGGCTGAGCAGCTGGAGGGTCCCCTCCAGAGGGAGGGGGTCAGAGAGCCCACTGGGAAGGAGGAGTATCTGAGTCCAGTCAGGCACTTCTCACAGACTCTGGAAAGGAAGAAGCAGAAAACCCACACTCACTGCCATCAAGTTGATGCTAACTCACAGTGAGCCTGTAGGTCAAGGCAGAACTGACTCTGCGAGTTTCCGAGAGTAACTCTTTATGGGAGTAGAAAGCTCTGCCTTTCGGAGTAGTTGGTGATTTCAAACTGCTGACCTTTCCAAAATGGTACCTAATAATTCTGTCCAGGAGCCCTGGTGCTGGACTGGGTTAATCACTGGGCTGCTAAGCTCTGCTGTTCAAACCTGGGGGCTCTTCCACGGGCCAAAGATGCAGCTGTCTCTGACACCCTGGGGGAAGTGCTACTTTGTTCGATGGGGTCCCTGAGAGCGGAGTCAGACCCGATAGAAGCGAGTAGAACTTCCACCAGCGTGTGTCCGAGACAGCCGCAATGTTTGTGAGTTTGTGCTTTGGGACTAATTCTTTTGAAGGAGCCCTGGTGGCGTGGTGGGTAAAGTGTACAGCTGCCACCAAAAGGTCTGTGTTTTGAACCCCCCAGCTGCTCTATAGGAGGAAGCTATAGTAGTCGGTTTTGGTACACATTTTCAGCCTTGGGAACCCTGCCAGGGAAGTTCTATTTTATCCTATAGGCTCATTAATTGTAGAATCATCTTGATAGCAGTGGTTTGGGTTGTGATCATGCATTCGGAGTCCTTCACTGGTGCAAATGTTAGCATACTGCTAACCCCAACACTGCTGGCTCAAATTCATCCAGAGGTGCCTCAGAAGAAAGGTCTGGTGTCCTACGGCCCGAAATCAACAAGTGAAAACCCTGTGGAGCCCAGCCAGGAGGTGGAGTCTACTCAAGGGAACTTGTTTTTCAATAGACATTTACTGAGGCAGGTCCAGGGGTCGGGGTTAAGGGCCGGGGCAGGGCAGAGGTCAGTGAGAGGCAGGTTGAGGAAGAAGCCCTGAGATGCAGCCAACATTGGAGGCACATGTCAGAGGCTTTCCTGAGGAGGAAGTGGGGGCTGCACTGTCCTCAGGGAGCATGGCGTCAGCAGGAGGGGCTGCACTCCTGGAAATGAATGTATTCCGGGCCGGAAAGACTGTGGGGAATGGGGTCAGGCTGGGAGCAGGTGCCACCGAGGAGGGAGGCAGCGGGGCTGAGAGGCCAGACATCAGCAGATGCTGTGTGCCCTGAGGCTGACTGTAGACTTCCTCCAGCTTAAAGACCTGAGCTGCATGCATTTCGTAGCCTTGGTCAGGGATTCCACCCTCTCCACCTTTATTTCACCCAGCTGCCTAATCATCAGTGCTGCAGGGTACAGACTCCTACCAGGGACCTAAGCGCCTTGTCACCCTCAGGCCATACCTGCAGAGCCAACACTGACAGGAGGGTCAATGAAGCAGCCAACTCTTTCCTGCCCACAGAGGGCCCGCTCTGGTTGGCAGGCTGGTGTGGGCCTTTGTCAGAGACAGCACCAGTTCAGCAATTCGAAATCACAAGCTGCTCCATGGGAGAAAGACTGGGCTTTCTTCTCCTGTTCAGTCACAGTCTTGGATGCCCAGAAGGGTCGCTAGGACTCAGCGCTGACTTGAAGGCAGTGAGTTGGTAATTGTCTGTTGAGCGTAATTTTCCTGAAGGGTGCAGAACCCTCTGCTCTCTAGGCTGTGAGCCCGGCAGGGAGCAGGGACACTTGGGCCTTGTCCATGCTGCCATCTCCCCAGAAAACACGACAGTGCCCATCAAGTAACTCAGCACCACCATTGGCAAATGCCAAACAGGCTCCAAGTCACGGGGACCCCATGTGTGTGAGAGAATTGTCCTCCATAGGGCTTTCCATCGCTAGCTACTTGCAAGTTGAGCACCAAGCCTCCTTCCAAAGTGCCCCTGGATGGCCTGGCATCTCCACCTCCAACCTTTCAGTTAGCAGCCTAGCCTGTTCACCACTCCCATTCCCCAGGGGCTCCCGTTGAAGGAACAAATGACCAGGCATAGAATTTGATGCTGGGTAAGAAATGCATGTGGTCATCTTGCACCTACCTGTTGTGCTTCAGCCCAAAAGACGTCTTCCAAGTAAGTGGCAAACCCTTCACTGAGCCACTCCTCAGTCCAGTCTCGGGCCCCGATGGCCAGACCAAACCAGGAGTGAGCAATCTCATGGCACAGCCGGGTCCCGCAGAGGTGGCTGCTTCCAGTCAAAGCACTCTGGGAGAGGAAGATGAGGTGTGGGCTGTGGATGAAGAGGACAAACACATGAAGTCCTGTTAGAGGCTGCCCTGATGGCTGCTGTCCATGCCCTGCAAGCCCATTATCCTCATGTGCATGCCAGAGCCTGACCCCTAGGCAAGTGGCAGTTTACGTTTCTGGCAGACGCTCAGGTGGCTGTTTGTGCCAAGCAGTTGTCCCCATCATCAAATGGCTGTTACCTGTAATAAGTAGCCTGGCTGAAATTTTACAGTTTTTGTTTTGTTTTGTTTTAAAGAGTACAAGGCCCGCAGAAAGCATTAATCTGATCCCTGGACTGAAAAGGGAGGGCAGGTGTGAGAAACATGAAGCCCAGGCTGCCGGGGGAATGGTCAAAGACCACCTGTCAGTCAAAAATCTGAGCAGCTTAAAGACAAATGGAGAAAGCATGCAGAAGGACTGGAAGCATCTGGAAGAATGGAGGCAAACATTTTCCACTTCACACTGGGGCTGGCCACTGAGTCACCAAACCAACAGGTGCCAGGGCTGGGTGAGGTTTCCAAGAAGCTACATAAGAGCTGAGTCTCCTGGGTCACAGGTATCCAGTGGTATTAACTCTGACCTGGACGTGATTACACACTCACACACATAACAAGATGATGCTGAGAGAGAAGACCTAGAGCGAACCCACCCAGGTGCACACACAGCCCCGGGGCTGGCACTGGCCGGGAAGATTTAACTAATCTCATTTTCAATACCTCCTCTGAAAACCCCAAACACCATGATTAGAATTGCAGAGGTGAAATGTGAGGAAGGAAGATTGAAGAAAGAAGAGGTGAACAGAATACCTCCGATGTTCCCCTTTAGCTTCCATTGTTTGCCTAGGACTTGTTTACAGGTTTCCTCATGAAGAATGCGCTCTTAAAACAACCAACCCCAAAGCCTCTCTTCCCTTCAATTGAATAGAAACAGCTGTAACGCCTTCCAAATCAAGAAACCGATACACTGGCTCCTTCCAGCAAAGCCACGTGTTTGTCCTCGTGTTGTATCCACACCAGCCAATGCTGCTTGCAGAGTGTCTTGCACCCCAAGCCCACCTGCGTTATTTCCCCTGCACAGCACTGCGCGCTCAGTTTGAAGCATTCCACTGAAGGGCGAACAGGACAGCTTCTACAGCGCTGCCCCACACATGAAAAACTCTCCCTGAGGGCCGAGAGTGGCTGCCTGAAATCCCTGCCTCAGGGGAGTCCCTTGGGGGGTGCGGTCAACAAACTTGGTTGCCACGGTTGGAGGTTTAAGTTCACCCAGAGGCGCCTTGGGAAAAACTGGCCCAAATCCTCCCTTGAAGACCCCTAGGGCACAGGCGGGGCTGCCCTGAATTGACTTGATGGCAAACAGTTCGGTGTTTTTAGGGGGAGGGCATTTAGGACTGAAGGGTTCAATGTAACAACTGTCAATGGGGTTGTTTGTGTGTTGTTGACTCAATTCCAACTCGCAGACACCCTACAGCACTGAGTAGAACTGCCCCCAGATGATTCCAAAGGCTGGAATCTTTACCGAAGCAGGCCACCGCCTCAGCTTTCTCCTGTGAAGTGGCTTGTGGGTTCAAAGTACCAACCTTGTGGTTAGCTGCCTAGTGCTTTACCCATTGCACTATCAAGGCTCCTTCTGCCAACAGTTCGGAGCATTGACCCAAGAATGAAAAGAATAAACAAAACCATTAAACCAGACCAAATGACAAAATGGTCAGGAAGGAGACAGATGCCTAAACGCTAATAGACTGCTGGTCCTGAGAAAGGCACTCCTGTTGAGAAGACAAGTGGTGCAGCCTGGCAAGAGAGCAAACGACCTCTTGCTCTGGCATGGGCAGCACTACAAAGAAAAGCCACAGAAATACACCCGGTAAATAACATTCCAGACATACTCCTGGCAGCCATGCACCCTTTTGGCTAAAACAAAACAGAAGTAACTTCAGGCTTTATAAACAGACTTAAAGACAGAGTTGCGTTGGAAGGATCCCCCAGTGAGCCAGCCAGCCAGCCAGATGGTGCACCAGCAGTCACACACTGTCTCACTGACCGAGCAAGGCTGGACACACTGATGCGGATGGCGCAGCGGACCACTGAAGAGAAAGCCCCCAACAATGGTCAAGGGTGGCCTGCCGAGGCCCATCTATGCAAATGAAGTCTGCTGGGCATGAGAGCAGCTGTGTGAGGGTGGCATTTCATCTCTTTGCCCTTTCCTGTCTCTCGCTTGAGTAGTCTTTGTTGTCTCTAGCATATGCCCCTCACCACCTGGCAGTAGCTTGGAGACACCACCACCAGCCTTGGTGCACCAGGGTGGGCCTTAGCCTTGCTGGAGACAAACCAAACTTCCACTTCCTCTCCCCAAACCTTTCTTCCCAGGGGACGGATCCATGGATTCCCACTGTCCTGGTCTGGAAGGAAGGACATCCAATGATATAAAAACGGCCCTGTTATTACTGACAAGCTTTCTCTCTGAGGCACAATTTTTAAGCTGAGAACCAGACCCTACGCCCGTCTGCAGCCCGTTTTGCCCCTCGAAGGCGGGAAGGGAACTATCAGGGCGCTCTAGGTGCCGGGTTAGAATCCCCTTTGAAAAAAACAACTTTTTTTTCTTTTCTTTTTTTAAAAAAATCATTTTATTAGGGGCTCATACAACTCTTATCACAATCCATACACACATCAATTGTGTAAAGCG